TCCCCTCAGGGTGAGGATGAAGAACAGATGTGAAGAATTGTTCAACTTAGTGTATTACATAGAAACAAATTAAGCCCACCTCATACATCTCCTTTAAGAAATCAAGAGCATTGATTGACACCAATGAATGGGTGTCCACAGGCTGACTTGCCCAGTAGATGACTGCATTGAACATTTCATTGATAGTGTCTTCACCCTTAGCCTTGGCAACCTCAGAACAAATAAATGTCTTGCAAAGAATGTTCCTTAAACCACTGACAGAGCAGAARGTCAATAGGAGTTCAAAAAGCTGTAATTGATAAAATAAAAAAATGAAAATATAAAAAGATAGTAAAGATGTTTCCAAATGAAACTTTATTTTAAATTTCTAACCTTGGATGCTTCTTCTGCATTTGTTGAGCTAAAAATAATTAAAATCTGCTCCATGTAGAATGGAAGATGTTCATGGCTGTAAAATGAACATAGTACAACATATTAAAAAAACAACATTGGAATGTATATGGATAAATGGATGAAAGAATGGATGGATGAAAAACCTTTTAATGAATAACCACAAAACAGAATCMAATGGACACTACTTACATGACCAGTGACTGTTGTATCTTGGTACTTTCCAGTAAATCAACAAATAAATCCACTGAGTACTTCCTGGTCAAAGATCCTTCTCCATTAATTAAAATATTGAAAATAAGTTGAAAAGTTTGGTGGATATTCTTGGCATTGAACAACTGGAATTACAATAAAAATGTGCATAGYATTAGCAATTTGTCAAATTTGAGCTTATACGATTTACAATATAACTGAAAACAATACAACAACAAATGCTCAATCAGTTTGACCTTAAATTGCGGTATATACATGGTGTCTACATGTACCTTTTCGCCCAGCTGCTCATTAAGAGAGAGACTTGTTAAAATAGACAACGAGAAGATAATAACAGTGAGRTTATTATGGGATAGAAATGAAATCAGGGTCCTGTACAATGCCTTGATGTTTTCCTGAAATTAAAAAMCAGTCATGGAATAAATAGGATAAGTAAGTAAATTTATGGACCTCAATCTATGTAGCCTACATAATCTGCAAAGTCCATTGAGTTTTATTGAAAAGTACATGTACATGTAATCAGCTTAAATTATATGCATTTCTTACCATAGCTTTAATGTGAGCTTGTACAGACATATTATGTCTGCAAAGATTGGCCAGTAGTCCAAGACAAGGAACCGTCATGTCTGATTCAGGAAGTTGTCTAAAAACATCAAGAGAATGATGTGTRTTAGTAGTGGATGTGTTAATATTTGTATCTTCATTGAATGCATGATAATAACAACATTAAACCAACATGAGCTCTGACAGTGCTTTTGATCATGAAACAAGAAGCATTTTTTAAGATTTTTTCATGCTTTCTTTTGTATTTGCCAGGTAAGGTCTTTGCACTACATTTTCTATCCTTTAAAGGGACACTGTCAATGGCACACATGCGCGAGTAAACTTGAAAAGATTAGGCTAATGTTTTCAAGTTTACAACTCCAAGTTGGTGCGACGCACGACAAAAAAAGTACTTGTAAACGTAAACAGATCTAGAATATTCCAAAGTGTGTCAAAACATTAATATACCTCGAAGGTAATACTTCTTACGACTGTTACTGCGCATGTCATCAATTGACAGTGTCCCTTTAACAGCATAAATTTATCGTTTATCACAGCTTTATTTACCAGTGCATTGTTGTAAAATAGAAGCAAAGTAACTTATAAGATATTTTGAATTTCTATATTACATACATGTTTTTGAATAAAAATCTAATCAGTTCTTCCAAGTATCCACTAGTAGTAGTGATYCTACAGCAGTAAGTGATTCTCTGTAGTAACTGTAAGCACTGTGAATTATACAAAGATAACGTTACATTGGGAGAGAGTGGATTCAGGAAGTAGGAAGGGATTGTTTTGATTGGTCACATGCATCACTTACCTGTAAAACCAGTTTATCATTACAAGTCACATGATGTCTGTGTAGAAATGCCGCTAGTGTTGATGTAAGGTGATATGTATTATGTAACAACATCCTTGTGTCCTGATCACTTGCTGTAACAAAGTATAATGATAATTTTAACAAAATTACCGACGCTTGGTTCTGAAGTTAGAACACATACATTACAGAGTTTAAGCATTACGTTTACGGCAAACGGCTAACGACAAAGCTGATCCAATGACTTAAGAATTTCGTGCCTGAACTTGTTCTTTAGGTAGTCATCTGATAGGAAATAGCAACTTTCCACGATTATGGCAAACTCAAATCCACTCTCGCGTTGAAACTGTAACTGTAAACCCCCTAAAAGCAGGTCATGTGATCTTTTCTGCAGTCTGCAGTGAACTTGATGCTTAAGCTCTCCATTACAACCCTAATTCACACTAACCTAAGTTGAATAATAACACCATTGCCTTCATATGCAGACCCGGACGGACAGTATTTTCATTAATAAGACCAACTAATGAGGACAGACATTCTGCAGGTARCACTTCTTTAGGAGAGAAACCTTGCAGAGGGTTAGATGATGATGAAATTCCTATCAGGACCTAATGATATAAAATTAACAGATATTTTTTTTGATGAAAATACATTTTTTTTCTTCTTGCACATCTATCTTGAATCTTTACTAGGAAATATTCTAAAATGTTCACTTTAACATTCAATTCACATCTGCTATCTAAGAACTATCAAATAACTGACACCTGCTTTGTAAAACTAAGCTAAACTTAGTAAAATTTTGAGCTGTCACTCAAACAGCTGTAAGATTTAATAGTCACAATAGCATTACATAATCATTAACAAGACACTTCCATTATAGTTTACATATTATAGGTTTGCAAAAAGGAGATATATACGTGAAATATCATGGAAATATTAAGATCAAATCTATTTATATCACACATGATCACATATTGTAACTTACATCGATTTGTCTCTCCAGATCTTTCACTGTTTGGTCGCTGGTATGACTTCGATACTGACAAAATGACGCCGATAGAGCCTTCAAACAAACATTGATATCCAAGGCCATACTTATACARTTTCTTTCAGRCTATTATGGACGCAGTACATTCATAATTTTGAAGGAAAACAAAGAAATGGTGCTAAAATTTACAAAATTACGAAGTTCCCGCCTTGATGTTATTGTGCGCATACACAATAAGGATGACCGCTGGCCAACAGKGGAMTCAACTGGTATAACACAGGAAGCCCGTAACGATCCACTTGTAGCAGGCGTCAGCAGGCGTTCCTTTTGCGAGCTCGTTCAAAAAGAAAATGAAGAGCGGGAGAACGACAAACAAAGTAACAACAGCAAAGAAAAAGAAAAAAAAGAACGAAGAAAAAAAAAAAAAGAACAAGAAACAAACAAACAAGAAACAAGCAAAAAAGAGAAATTACAGAAGCAGGGCTCGAACTCAGAACTTTCATTTCAGAAGAAGATGCACCCCCCGGAATACATAAGAAATAAGTGAAAATAAAAAACTAAAAAGATGGGACGATTCCCCCGAGACATTCTATGAAGCTGAGGCGGCGAATCGGCTTACGTTACGGTTAGAGATTTCGGCCCTTCCACGCTATCCCGAGTGAACATAAAACTTAGTCTTAACCAAAAGGCCAGGGAGTGAGGGGGTAGCCGCCCACTAGAGCATACCTTTAGCTACCCTCTTAGACCATCGTACTATGAAGACACTTAAGATATCTGATATCTAATTGGGGTAGTCTATTCGGTGAAGTTCTATGCTAATATATGACGTCACCAAAATCCTTTGGGAGCAGCGAGCCAATCGGAGCTCAGTTCAGGAATTAGCGAACGATACAGGGTTTGCATAATTAGTCTTCAGTGGATTTATTATTTGAGGGGGGTGGGGTTGGGTGCTGAGTATTGGTTTGCGGCCGAATACCGATGTACTCGTTGTACTGTGACGGATTTCACCGAGCTGTTCTATTGTCCGTCATTGTTTTCCAAATCATCACAGGAAAAGGTGTACAGTTCTCAATATCAGACAGACATTACTAGTATTCGGATAAACAGGACAACAAAAATTTCTTGAAATTCTTAACGTAAGTTGTTTACAGTCCAGGCAGATACTAGCTGTTGCTAAAGATTTGCCGGGATCGCAATGGAACAAATGAAGACCTTTGAAATTCCACTACATTACACTGGAACTATCCACATTATCGTTCTTGATGATATCAAAGTTTACAAATGGATTAATATCGATTATCAAATAATTATTAAATCTTCATATAGTGAATGTTAACAATTGAAGCGRTTATAAATGATAATACGTATAAAATTGATAAAGAAATGAAGAAAGACTTAGCAATCTTTTGGTCAGTATTGCAAAACTATAATCAAACGAATTAGAGTAATTAACATGGATGTAAAAATACAGTTTGAATATTATAAACATTTTATGCAAGAAAACGTTCGAGAATTTATTATGAGTTTATAAATCAACAGAGAAGAAAGATGTCTTTGAATACAGCTAAATTTGTTGTTATTTTCTAGATTAAATTGAGTTCTTTCTTTGCGAAATTCTGAATAGCGCAACGATCGATTTTAGAATTCTCAACCAGAGGGAGCTGATCAAGGAAAACAAAATACTTCGGACGAACAGCGTGTGGTCCAAACTTGTTACTGCACCAGTCCACTAGGTCAGAAACCTTAGATCTTAAATTAGAACCGGGAACCTCAATGACGCRTGCGCAAATTTCTTCGTTAAGGACCTCATCCGGGACTCCAACGATGACGGCATCAGAAATCTCCTGGTGCTCCATCAATTTATCTTCAAATTCTCCCGGGAACAGTTTGTCGTGTCCATGAAGAATGATATCTCCTTCTCTGCCGAGAACTTGTAGCTTGCCATCCTCGTACATAATGCCATAATCACGCGTGTTAACCCAGCCTGTTTTTGACTTTATTAAGGCAGTTTCGTCAGGATTGCCGATATAATGGCTAAAAACCTTGGGACCACGTATGTGAATCAGACCTTTGTCGCCATAAGGAACAACAATACCATCTTGATCAACAACTTTCACTTCTGTGTCAGGAAAAATGAACATCTTTCCATAATTATGAGAATTAATGTTGGCTATGCTGAGTGGCTGCAAAGCAACGGTCATAACCTCCACTGACGCATACACCAACACAACGTACTTTTCAGGGAMGATTTCAAGAAGCGCACGCATGGTCTTCCTGGGAACGATTTGTCCGCCATAGCCGAAACCTTCTACACTGGACAAGTCGTACTTTTCCTGGAATTTCTGACCAATCATTGTGGGAACATCCTGCTGTGGAATACAAAGATTGTCGCATTTTTCCTCTTCTGTTATTTTCAGCATGAAATCGTACGAGTCTTCGGGTGTGATCTTATGGAAAGGTGCCGTGACAAATGTGAAACCAATCACTAGTGCTGCTACAAAGCAAGGGGCTTCACTCCCCCAGGGCATGGGCCAACCTGATTATACACAGAACACCAAATGACTCCGGGATCATAAATCATTGTTTTGGACAAATGAAAAGTTAACCTTAACATGAAATAGTCAACTTTAGATATTTTGGTTCGATGACTACGTACAAAAAAACGCACACGAGGCTCCAGGAAAACAATGGATAATCTTGATTTATTCTTTTATTTCCCCGGAGCCCCGTCTGCAATTCTTTTGTGCATGGTCACTGAACCAAAATATCTAAAGTCGGCTATTGGGATTTACACGGGATCAATGAATGTATTTGTAGTCAGATTCATGGCTGGATTTAAGCTTGGGTTCCCTGTTGAAAAACCTACCTGAGAAACTGACTGAATCTTCCTCAAAGCCAGGAATATCCAAGTTAATAGCATTAACAATTGCATGATGTGTAAACCCTACAGCTTTACTTGGACCTGTAGTTCCTGTTGTCAATATAGCAAAACACAGGTCTTCACATTGCACTTTACTTTCAGCGTATTCCAAATCCTGGTCATGGTATTCCTTTGTCAWGACGTCTTCATAGATGACAATATTCTCGTGTGGGATTCCTGTGGTGTTATCAGCTCCGGAGAGAACAATTGACTTCACTGTGGAAGCTGTCATCTCTACTAGCTTGGTGAAAACACTGAGAACATGTGCCTTTTGTTCAGGGCATAGGCTGAGCACACCAAAAATACCCTCACATTTGACAACATGTTTAAGCAAATGTACTCGTTTCTCCGTCAAATCTTCAGGGCAAGTTAGAACTGCACATGCTCCTATGCGCATAGCCGCTAGCCAGCTCACAGCATACTCAAAGCTGTTGGGCGCACATATAAGGATCTTGTCACCTCGACCCAGTCCTGACTTCAGAAAACCTTTTGCAAGCTGTCGCGACTGATCACTGAGTTGTTTGAATGTTAAAGATGACCTCCTTCTGCCAGAGTCATAGATGACCAGAACTGGCTTGTCTGGTGTCTTTGCTGCATCCACGAACTCGAACAGTCGTCGGTTTACAAGTGAATTAGGTCGTGGTTTATGGTAATAACTCATGGTAAAGGGAACTAGAAATACTGGAGAGATGGCAGTCGTCAAAAACATTAAAAAACACTGGCCCGACCCCCCATTCCTCATCTCTATAAACGGCAGGGCCCAAAATATCATCTCACACATAACATGCATTCACAGAAAAATCGAAAAATATCTGCACATTCAACAATCTCCCGGGGGCCTCCCTAATAAAAAAGGGCTATTAGGGACTAATAACCTAATCCTAACCCTATGCACCCMCCACACACACCCTAAGAGGAAAGAGTGAGCGTAGTAAAATACCAGTTTTTTTACTTCCAATGAGAAACAACGAATTTGTTATTTTCACTGAGAGAAATATAAGTATTCGGCATAGATAATCACATGATAAAAAAAACTTTTTATGGATAAGAACCGAGTAAGTTCCAGTTGATAATGGAGTCAGTTGATATATATATATGAGTTATGACAGTTTAAAAGTTTATGACTAAATTGCGTGCAGACGAAACACTGATACTGAAGAAGATACAGCTTCCGCCTGTTTTAACGTGTTAAAATCGTGGGATCGTGACTGTTCTATGACTAGCTAATACGTATTCAACAATGCCTGCTTTTTACCTTCTTCAAGTAGCGTATATATTCTTGAGCAACCAATTGCGAGATGCATTACAAAATCCCGTGACTAAGACATTTGATCTAAAAGGTCATACAACAGCAGATACAGATAGAGTGACTCCGTACCATGCCTAGCTAATTTTACAATTTTTAATGCAATGTTTAAAGAAAATAACCTACTTAAAGTGTACTTATCGACGTTTTTTTATACATGGTCAAACTTACTGGTTTTCCGCGCACATAAACAAAATGTTTCAAAAAACGTTCTAACCTCGTTTTCAAACCAGTCACTCTGAATAAATCTGATCCGTGACAAGAYAAATACCTCTCAAAGTTTGATCAAATAGACGTGAATGTAAAGGCGGTCGTGAAAGAGCATTCGAAAGGTATCACAAGTGTCAACTCCGCGCAAGATTTGTAACCTGTTGTAAGTATTTCAATAGTCTAACATAAGCGTTTATATGTTTGTAGTATACCTTAAAATCATGACGTTTTTTTTAAACAAGAATGCATAAGATTATCGACATTTCAGCTTAGTTTCCTTGACAGACCATAACAAGCCATTTTAAAACAATGTTAAAACACTGTTCAAAGATCTATTACGTACACAAACTGTATGCTTTTAAACGAAATGATCGAGGAAATATGAACACTGAGCTAGACATAAAAGACAACTGTTTTCGTGCAAAAATAGTTWATCGATTCAGGTTTATAAATCAAATTTAAGTTGCGTGTACAGTTGTTCAAGTACAGCTCTTGTCTGCGAGCTGTCATTTGTTGCTTTGTTTTTTCACAGTATTCCTTGCTATTCCTTTTTGGCAAAGAAAGAATGACAAATCTGCTTATGAAAGCATGACATTTATTAACATGTACATGTGGGCATTGTATGCCAAAAAGACTCCTTCATAAGACTGTAATCTGAACCTGCAGGTTGAGGGCCACGTGTTAGATAACTCTATGGGTTAACCGTGTCACGTCACCCTCCTTAAATAAAGTTTATTGTTACTATTTTGTTGTGTTATTGGGCTGTCTGACTCACATATTTCTGTTTCTTCTCGACGTTTCGACGCCATTCTGGTCGTCATCCTCAGGATTTTGATTGAATCTTAGTTATTAGAAGCCTGGCGTCGAAACGTCGAGAAGAAACAGAAATATGTGAGTCAGACAGCCCAATAACACAACAAAATAGTAATTATACCAGACTCACGAATAAGAGTTTCAGATCTACAAAGTTTATTGTATTGTATTGTATTGTATTGTCTGAATAAAGTCAATAGATCACGCGATCCATTCATCATTAAAGCAGAAGTGGCCCCCTGAGTGTCCTCAAAATACGGCCAAGTTGATAAGCTTATGATAATTGTCTGATTTGTAAAATGTGGGCACGTCACTGGATATTTCAAACGCTCAAGAGTAACCGAAAAAAGGTTTTCACAAAAATTGACAAATGAGTACCAGTTGCTTGTGAACCTTCTGCGTCTCAACAGTCGCGTAGCGTCCTTTACTCACTACGCACGTGCGTACCAGTGGCAAGGAAATATTTATTTTTTTTTTTGGCGGGGGGGGGGGGGGGGGTAAAAATTGTCTTGATGCCCCTCAAAAATGTGTCGTGGTCCCTGACATGTGAGTACTAGCCAAGACGTCCTCGCTACGCGCCTGCATTTCCTTTCTTACATTTTTTCTTTCTCTTTCAGAATCTTTCACATCATGACGTCACTAAGTTACTGTCACAAACCAAGATCCAACCCTCTTGACAACCGTACAGTATACCAGATACTCGATGACAACGCCACSAAACAYCCTRRMAAAGAGGTCTTGGTCTTCTACGATGCYAACSRSCACCGTTCCTCCCTGACCTTCCAACAACTCAARGATCAGTCAATTCAGTTTGCAGGGTCTCTTTTAAGGCTTGGMTTYAAACGAGGCGACAGGATCTTGCTRTACGCTGCCAACAGTCTTGAATATGTGGTCAGCTGGATGGCTATCAACCGTGTTGGAGCATGTGCAGTACTTATGTGTCCAGGTGACGTCGAGTGGCAGGAAGTCGTACTYCTTAAGAGACTGGGTTGTGCAGGGCTMATCTGTGGCCTAGAAGGACTTCCCGATGAGCAACGAGGGCGTATAGTTAGTGAAATCATGGAAATAGTGCAACATAAGAAGGAAGAAGGCCAAAACTACACAAATGTCATCATAACTATTGGAAATTATCATGCAGACATCAATCACCCACGTATTTTACAATACGAGAACCTCATCCATGATAASACTGACCAAGCGGAAGTGATTGCAACCGGAAGAAGAGTTCATGCAGATGACCCTGCCTTTGTATGTTTCACTTCCGGCAGTACAGGCGAAGCTAAGGCCGTTGTTTACACCCATCATAGTATCGTGAACGCCGTCAACCTTGCACTTCCAGGAATGGGAATTGATGGGGACAGAAAAAGCTTCTCTGGATGGCCAATGTCATGGGGCAATGGAGCACCAGTGGTGATAATAGCTATTGTGATAGGATTCACACATATTATAACATTACACAATAAGATAACGATGAAGGACTCTTATAAGTTCATGTTTGATATCATTACCAAGGAGAGGTGCAGCGGTTGTAGCATTGCTCAAGAACATGTCCATCAGCTCATTGCGGAGAAGTTTCAAGAAAAGCACGATTTCAGAGCGGTAATGAAAGCCTTCTAAGGGGATACGGGTTCCTGGCGAGGATGGGGTGGGGGTACGGGTACCCGGCGAGGATGGGGTGGGTGTACGGGTACCCGGCGAGGATGGGGTGGGGGTACGGGTACCCGGGTAGGATGGGTTGGGGGTACGGGTACCCGGGTAGGATGGGGTGGGGGTACGGGTACCCGGGTAGGATGGGGTGGAGGTACGGGTACCCGGCGAGGATGGGGTAGGGGAATTACGGTTATTGTTTATGCTTTTACAATCTGTCTGCAATATGATTTGACAGTCAGTCAATAAATGTTAATCAATCAGGCAACCAACCAACAAAGCTCAGTCTCTAACAATCAGTCAGTTTTGGAAAACACCACCAATATTTCTTTGCGAACTGATATTGAATCACGAACATTTCACATTAAAATTTATTTAATTTTCGCTCTTTTCAGATTTCAACTTTGGGATTTGGCGCCCAAATTGTACCCCGAAAGACTATCCAGGCTTTACTCGATGCCTTCCCWAAAAGGAAAGCCTTACTAGTTTACGCAGCAACAGAGGTCCTTACAGTAGCAATTCAACCTCTTTCATTTGCGACTATTGACAAGAAAGAGGACTACGGCAAGATGTACATTTTTCCAGACATCGAAGTGAAGGTCATCGACGACCAAGGTCAAGTTGTACCTTTAGGAACCAAAGGAGAAATCTGTGTTCGAGGACCAAAGATGTTCCTGGAATACCTGGAGGATTCTGAGGCAACCGCGAAGACCAAGAAATCAACGGGATGGGTTCACACTAGTGATTATGGCATCATGTATGACCGAGCAAGAATCAAAGTACTGGGCCGACAAACTGACATGATCGTCACTAKTCACCAGGCCGTCTTCCCTGTCGAAGTTGAAGAGATTCTTCTCGAGAACCCGGATGTTCAAGACGCAGTGGCTGTTGGTGTCCCAAATAAAGACAGCAAAGAAGACATCTGCGCATGCGTCATCGAAGTTCCCGGATCTAATCTGGAAGCGAGGGCAGATGAATTGGAAAGGTGGTGCAAGAAAGCGTTTGAAGAAAATGGAAATTCTATTCCAAAACCAAGCCATTATCTGTTTGTTAAGGATTTTCCTATTTCAGATGCTGCAAAAATTGATCGTCGAGAAATCAAAACGTTTGCGAAGAAAAATTGTAGATTGTAATCAATTTTTAGTATTTTAGACTACAATTTATAGTTAAAAGATTGTCAGGGTATTTTTCACGGATTTTTACGGATTTTTCACGACGGGAATGTGTCAGTATATCATCGATGAAAGGAGGGTGTCTGATCTTCATATTGCGATCATACGTAAATCAATATTCCATAAATTACTGTTTAGCAAATGTTTAAGATTGAATTCCACTTGCGTAATAAAAGATTCCGTATAGAATACGTACGGATTTTTCACGACGGGAATGTGTCAGTATATCATCGATATAAAGAAGGGTTTCTGTTCCATATTGATCATACGTAAATCAATATTACATAGATATTACATAAATTACTGTTTACTAAAAGAATGTTTAAGATTGAATTGCACTTGCGTAAAGATTCCGTATCAATACGTACGGATTTTTCACGACGCTGGTCCATATTGGTCATACGTAAATCGACAACAAACAGAGCACTCCAGAAAGGATGCATATTGAATAGAATGAAATCCAGTTCAGTTTTTTCGCCACGTCCTGCCATGTAATACCGTGACTTGTTCTAGAACTCCATCCTACGTTTCTCGCGGCTTCAACATCTTGATTTTCAATACTGTTTTGATTTTTCCTGAACTTAAACTTCAGTGGAAATAGAAATCGTACTACTGAAGAAGAAGGSACTCCCTCCTTGTAGTAACACTTTAAGATAAAGATTGTGGTAGTCAATGCTAAAACAATAACAAGCATACAACACATCATKACAAGTCCAAATATAGGTAGATGGTCAGATGACTGGGGGAGGTAGTTGGGAAGCATTAGCAAGAACACCATCAGTGTTAGCAGTATAGTAGTGACAAAACCAATCCTTTCCCCACTCTCCGTCGGGATGAAGAAGCTGAGTAGAGCTAATATGACAAGGACAATGGCGGGTGGTGAGATGAAAAACATCACAAACAYAGGCTTACGGCTGAGTTTGATGGAGTAAATCGCTGTACTGAAAGTTCCACAGCATTTTGTGCTCTTTGATGGTTTATTATCGACTTGGATATCGTCAATGGTCCACTCGCCATTGGATATAGATCCTTTGGATAAAAAAAACTTAGTTAATAACTTCGCTTGGTACTTTCTCTTCTTAATTTCTTGATTTTATAAAGTGATCAACTAGTTGATTAAGTGTTTCATCAGATGATTGATTGCTTTTGTGATTGTTGGATTTGAAGTCTGCCTGTTTTTTTAAGGTTGGTTGGTTGGTTGGTTTTGGTTGGTTGGTTGGTTGGTTCAATTTACAAACCTGGCTGATAATTCTCCTTTAGTGAACTAATAACCAAGTGACGTCGTGGAAATACAAACGATCCAAATTTCAGCTGACATAYTTGTTTATCCATTGGCCATAGCTTGATGTTCTGGTTACAAGTGCTGGAGAAAGAAGCWGGCGAAATCCAACGCAAACTGCCATTTGATAGTCCAAATATATTGCTTTTGTACTTGTTCTTTCCACCAGCAAGTTTCTCGGTTCTGTCTGCACTGGAAAAGATTGCACAACTGTTTATGAGATATTATTGATGACTGATGAGCACCAYTGAAGATTTTGCAACCAGGAATGGGTCAATGTTTGATGCCATCGTCAAGCTGTTTATCAGATTTTATCAATCAYTGAATCATTTAGGCACTCGGTCAACCTGTCAATCTGCTAACTAACCACAATTATACTTCTAATACTCACTTGTTCATAAGAGATATGTCTGGGACCCAGATCTCCTCAGGCGAAAAGACGCAAAACTCGAGATTGTTGTACTTTGAAAGGTTCCAGGTCAAAAACTCATCAGTCCATTTCTAGCAATCAATTCACCAAATGTAAGAGCGCTTTAACTGGATGACAATTAATATTGATAAAAATATACCTGGATTATCCAACCATCGATTTTTAGGACCTGTTCTTTTGTATTCTATTGAAACGAGAACAAATGTACGAATGTCACAATCAAATGACCAAATAAGAGATCAAGAGATAGAATAATCAAATCAGTCAAACAATTTATTAATTATTGACCAACCAACCAACGAATAGATCAACTAATAATCAACCAATCAAGCAAACAAAAAAACAAAAAAACAAAAAAACAAAAAAACAAAAACAAACAAAAACCAACAACCACTTACACATTAAGTAACCAAAGCAAATTGACAAGTGGACCAAATAAAACCCTTTATCAAGCCCCAACTAATAATGACACAACCAATGCAGACTTGCACCCAGTCTCTACTCTTTTTTTCTGGCGCGCGCAAAGGATCAAGGGAAGTCGAAAGAAAAAGTAGTTCGGACTTTCTTTGGTGCACCACGACCCGTAAAACAAGCAAGAGAAGCGACAGGGTACGAGTCTGCAACCAATGCATAATAATGCAAGGTATCACTTACTACTTCATTGAGGTTAGTCACTCTAAGTGTAAACTCTACAGGAAGTGACGTTCCTTCGCGTGTGAACTTCAAGGGTCCAAGGACATTATCATAGTCGGTTAACACTTCTTTCCTGATTGCTCTCCTAAGTTTATTTTGTTCAAGAAGTGTTTCCTGGTCATATCCATAGCCTGGAATGCCAGCAAACTAGTAAATTAGTAATAGCGGTGCGAAAGATTGGATCCCTGTCTTACTGGAAAAAGCAGACTCGTTCCCAGTCGTTACTCTTCATGTCTTTCGCGCAAAGGATCAAGGGAAGTCGAAAGAAAAACCGGACCTCCCTTGATGCACCGCGACCCGTTAAACGAGTAAGAGAAACGACTGGGTACGAGTCTGTTGGCAGTGGGACAGGAAGCCCGACAAAAGGTAAGCTGCAAACGCGACTAAATCTTTTATTGTAAGCTACGAAATAAGATAACCAGGTTTTGAGGGTTACATATAAAAATGCTTGAGGTTAAAAGTCTGACGGCTCACATTATGCTATGACAACATGCAAGGATTTCAAATTGAAAAGAAGATTAACACAATGTTTCGTATTGCTATATTTTTTATCTCAACGAAAATTACATCACAGCAAGAAGCCATCTATTTTTTCTTAGTCAATTTCGTCAATTTGATTGGCCATCTGGTACAGTTCAATCTGATAACTCTATGCCTTGAATGGCGAATTGAAAAAATGTCGAGTCATTATATTCTTTCCATCAGAAAAGAGCCTTACAATAATCTCTCTATTGCTCAACTATTTTACTATAAGCAAATAACCAAATTCATGAAAACTTTGATATAATTTGACGAACAAATTGACAAATTCCATAAATATTATAATCTATCGTTTCAGCGAAATTAGAGAAATAATAAAGAAAAGAAATTGTCTTTAAAAAAGATTATTACTTACATAAGACTTGGAAAAGAACAACCGTTGTAAGAAGGAATATTTTCATCATTTCTCGTAGATAAGCTTCACTTTTAAGTACTACTTTCGGTTTCTGGTGGTAATTGCATATGGACCTCTCATATCGATAAACATCAAGCTTTGTTTCATTAGAACACAGCATGGAYTTAATGGGACCTTATTTTGGATTTTGTAATTAGTACTTAGTTTCAACTGATTTATTTTTAGATAGAAAGGGAAGTCGCAAGGTTTATATCAATGGAAAACTGATAGACTGACTTTTTGGAAACTTTTTTGGCTGTCTTTACTCCTATTCGATTCTGCTTATAGCACATGTATGAATCGTCTTATCGCTTTTGTTACAAACAGCTTTGATTCTTTTTCGATAACACACAAAACTTATAATCATATTAAAAAAACAACAACTTGTTTTACTGTTTTTTTATTCGGTTCAAACGTACTGTGACATGCGAAGACAAAAGAAGCCCTTGACGAAAACGACTGGCCATTTTCAGCCATTTGTAATTTAATTTTTTGTTTATATTGATTGTATTTACATGAAAACTTCCATGAAAAAAGTTGTAAGTGAGATCGTAAGGCACAGGTGTATATACACAGGAAGCCCATAACTTGCATAGGTAAATCTTAATTGTTCTAGCAAGCCATTCATTATTAAATTCGACGGGTGTCGTAAAATTGTAACTTTGTTACAGTAACGCGTTTCAATGTCACACGAAAATGTCTATAGGATTTTATGTTGCAGTTATCTTTCTGTCACTAGTATCATTGTTTTTATTTATTGTTCAACTAGGAGAACCAATACGACAATAACTGATATCATACAAATAAACCAGAAGAACACCAAATTCAGCTTAGCAGCAACATGCTGCCATGTAATTTCTTCATCTCGCTCAGCTGTAACGTCTTTCTCTAGCTTGTTCTCGACCTTAACAGCCGCGTCTTTATCTGAACTTTCAAAAGCAACGTTCTGTTGTCCAATTTGCTTGACTTTCGTTATCTTTGCSTTGRATCTTCTTTTCAAGGGGAACAGAATCTTCTTAATGAAAAGTGAAGGAGTTCCATCTTTATAGTAACACATTAGCACTATAATTGTAGCAACAAGCGCTGATGATATTACCACCATTGCAAATATCATTAGAATTCCGAGGATTGGAAGCTGATCCGATGTCCTCGGAAGGTACTCTGGGATCATAAGCAGGAAGACCATGAGTGTAAGCAAGATGGTGGTGACAAAACCAATCCTTTCCCCACTCTCTGTCGGGATGAAGAAGCTTATAAGGGCAAGAACCACTAGAATGACAGCCGGTGGAGCAAGGTAAAACATGAAGTAGTCTGGTTTGCGAGAGAGTGTTAGTTTATAGTTCACAGTGCTGTAAAGTTTTCCGCAGCACTTTTGGTGGTCGGTTGTATCGTTGTACACCTCGATGTCATCAATTGTCCATTCTCCATTTGACACTGAACCTATAAACAAAGCACAACTCGTGGTAATTATGTGTAAAATTGAAAATGGAGAATTACGGTAATCGATTGAGGCCTTGCTACTGTACAATTATGCTACTAAAAGGACAACTTCCAAAGATTCAAAATGGAGAGTTGAAGCACCTGATCCGTGAATCAAACATAGTACATAAAAAGCAYAGTGCTAAATTACGGTAACTTCTTTCGTTTCTATTTCCAAAATAGCAGCACTATATCAATACCTTTAGTATAAGTTTCTGTGATTGGAACAATAACTAAGTTCTTTTTAGGGTAAGTACATGAACCAAATGTTAATATGCAGTTTTGYACGTCCATAGGCCAAGTCTTGACGTTCTGAACACATGTACTGCTGAAGGTAGCCGGCGAGAGCCAAGTCATGGAGCCTTTGCGCCAAGCGTTGATATTAGTGACAAACTTTGTTGGTCCTCCAGCAAGCCTCTCGGTTCTGTCTGCACTGAAACACAACCAAACATTAGAAACACTTGACTTATAAGACTTCTTAGTTTTGCACTAGTCTCCTTCATATCCTCACCTTTTTTCGGGCTTCCTGAGGGACAGGGAGTCCGACAAAAGAGGAGACTGCGAAGGAGACTTAGTTTGCACTTACTTGTTGATCAATGCAATATCTGGTACCCAGACTTCTTTTGGTGAAAATACTGTATAACCTATCTTCTTGAAGTTGGTTGAATTCCAGGCAAGAAATTCATCATACCATTTCTACACAGAAAAAAAATATAACAGTGTCATGTAGGATATATTTGGTAGTTTTCACACTCAATATTATTCATTTATTCAAGGGCTTCTACTACAGAGAGATTAAGCGGATACAACAGAGGTATTAAGTTCAGTAATGGATGACGGAA